AAAGCACTTACTGTATAAACAAATTTTAAAACCTTATTCACTTAAATCAGATTAACTTAAATCATTATGCGTCGGGTATATGCACCACGCAATCACAAAGGGGTGGAAAGAGAGGGATGAAAAGAGAGTGGTGGAAAGAGAGAGAATTAGAAAGACGTTTAAATCATTATGCACCGGACGGATATGATTTTTACATACGGCCGCGCAAATGGTAATGGATGCGAGGCTGCACGGCTGTATTAGATTGCGTTTCCAGACCGAAGGCAGCCGAGGCATCCAACCTTTGCTGCTGTTTATCGTCGCGTTTCTGAGGGAGGATCCGTAACACTACAAACTATGGATCGAGGATGACCGAGATCCGCTCCTACGCCTGACCATGATGAACACATTCTACAGGCTGTTGGAGTCGATCCAGGTATCAGCACACGTCAAGTAGCCCTAGCATGTCGTATGTCACATAGTACCGCGTGGAGGTTTTCTTCAAGAGTAGTTCCTGTATCTGTATAATTTGCAACTTGTGCAGGGTCTTTCTCCCTCTGGTCACTCACCACGGGAGAACCTTTGACGAATGGTTTATTGCACAAACTGCAGATCCGTTGTTTGTCTCTTAAGTTTTGTTTATGGATGAGGCAACATTTGGAAAAGATGGAATAACAAATTTACACAACCAACATTTGTGGGCAGATCGGAATCTAGACATCAGTATGTTTACGATTAATGTGTGGGCTTAATGTGTGACTGTCTGGTAGGTCCATATGTTCTCCCAGCACCTCTTATAGGAGCTGACTATAGGGACTTTATTTCGAACAAACTTCCAGACGGAAAATGATATACCCCTGATAATATGAAATCGCATAAACATATATACAAAAATTAACTTCGGGAATAATTATTAAATGGTACGAAGCTTGACTTGCCAGATTTTCCGTCACATTCTCAAGGCATGGAACGGGCAGTCAAGTTAACAACAGAAGCTTCCCAATTTGTGCATGACCTTTGAAGCAAGGCACATTATAGCAAAAATTTTGGGTCAGAAATTGAGACCATCATCTTCGTCTAAGGGTTCTTATATGGAACTATTTGATTGTATATTAAGCCTTATTGAACTATTATTTGTTTTTCCATATTTGCTCGTTCATAATAGAAAAAAATCAATTTTTTAATGTATTCAACTATTACTGCTGAATTCATGAGGTGATAAACAGCATTTCGAAGTCGTCACTGATAATGACGGGGGGGTCAGATTTTCAATTTGAAGTTTAGTTATAATTTCTTCAATTTATTTCATTTTCATAAAATAAAATAACAACATCCCCCGATTTAAATGCTGAAATTGTTTGGTTTTCTCATCAATATTTAGTCCAAATCTTGCAAAATCGTGGATTTTTCAATGCATTTTTGTCTACGATCTTTGATGCCAAATGCTCAAAAACCGTCAGATCTAATTTTTGTATCAGTACTTAATTGGTCTATACACAACTTTCGGTACATTATACCTTTGATAATTTAAAAAAAAGTGAAAATCAACTACCCTAATATATATATATATATATATATATATATATATATATATATATATATATATATATATGTGTGTGTGTGTGTGTGTGTGTGTGTGTGTGTATGTGTGTGTGTATGTGTGTGTGTATACTGTTGTGCAGTGATAAGCAAACTATCTTATATAATACATTATATATATATATATATATATATATATATATAAGATGGCTTGCTTATACAATCCATAATATATATATGTGTGTGTGTGTGTGTGTGTGTGTGTGTGTGTGTGTGTGTGTGTGTGTATTATGTATTATATAAGATGGTTTGCTTATCACTGCACAACAGTCATAATATAGATAGATAGATAGATAGATAGATAGATAGATAGATAGATAGATAGATAGATTATATTGCTTATGGTTTGTTTATCAATATATCACTACATATATATATATATATATATATATATATATATATATATGGACGGATGTTCGTCAAATATGTGTACACATTTTAAGATTACCGAAAGTCGCCCTATTTCAACATCTGTAATAGTTTACCATATGCCACCGACCATTTCTCCTGTCCTCGCAAAATATTGACGCGGATAATGATTTGTTTATCTACCTTAGTTTATTTTTCTCTCCATACATCTTATTTCTGTAAATATTTATAACACTCGGACGAATAATTACTTGACACAATACCAATTTTTTTTATCTAAGAGCGACGCAGTTCGCTCCCTTTGATAAAATGATCTTCAGCATAAAGTCAATTAGTAGCTGAAATTAGAAACGCATAACAAAAGAAGTATTCATCTGCATTATGCTGGAAAGTTAGGCTTGAAAATATCAAGAATGTAGTGACTGTGAAAACAAAAATCTTTTTAATAGTTTTTAGGAAAACAGGTCTCTCATGTTTACTGTTATCGTTCTTTCTTGTATTGATGGGAGTTTCCTTTCTAATCTTTTGTTTTTGGTTATATGGAAAACCAAAATTCTGATTGTATCATTACTCTTTCTTCAAGTTACATATATTATCCATTTTAGTTGTTGCTGCTTTTGTCATCAAGTAATGTGGCTTTTGTTACTTGTATGATTCTGTAGCGCCAGTCTATAATATTTGATGAAGGATTGTCTTCTTCTATAATGTATATTTTTATACTAATTTTCACTTAATACAAGGTACAAGAGACTCCCAAGGTAGAGGGTTAGTGTGGTGTTGTATGAGCAGAGGAAAAACAAGAAACGAAGTTCATGGAGTTAAGTAGGAAAGATAACGGTTAACCCTAGACTTGAAGAGGTCAAGATTGTAGTGATTAGGAAATCATCCTGCCGGGAGTCAGTTCCACAAAGCAGCAATTCTTGGGAAGAAGCTGTCCGAATGGAACTTACTTCTTACTACGCAGGGAAGATATCAAGAATGTAGTGACTAAGAAAACAAAAATCTTTTTAATAGTTTTTAGGAAAACAGGTATTATAAATATAAGAAGAATATCGTAATTTTTAAAATTTCTTTTTATACTGATATTTATTTAATACAAGGCCAAGAAACACTCAAGGTAGAAGGTTACTGTGTGGTGTTGTATGAGCGTAAGAAAAGGCAAGACATAAGTTCATGGAGTTATGTAGGAAAGATAACGGTTAACCCTAGACTTGAAGAAGTCAAGATTGTAGTGATTGGAAAAACATACTACTGGGATTTTGTTCCACAACGCATCACATCTCGGGAAGAATCTGTCTGAATTGAGATTACTTCTAACTATAAGAATACGGAGGGAATGAAGATGATTCACTCTTGTGTACGTGGCATGGTGGGTCCCAGTTGTAAAGGGGTTGTGGAGCTAAGGATTGTAGCTCGTCAGAACACATGCCTTGGAAATAGCGATAATATAGCGAGAGGCACGTGATGTTTCGTCCGTGGGAAAGGGGTGAAAAATAATTCATCACCGACAAGGCCACGTGTATGCTTTCGAGCTCTATCAAGACAGGTAAGTGAAGATTGAGCAGCTATAGGCCAGATATGGCAGCCATACTCCATTTTGGGTCTGATCCGGCTCTTGTAAAGATAGAGTCTGACAGAGGGGGGCAGATACTTACGGGAGCGGTACAATGAGCCGACCATTTTTTCAGCATCTTTAGCAATAGCACAGTTTTTTAACTAATCTTAGAGATCATATTGAAAAATATGTTGATTTCTGTAAGTTATTTAACAACATTTTTGCTCGGCAGATAATTATGGCAATAATGGCGTATGTTTATTTTAGCATTTCATCCCAAGCAAGGCAATAAAGCCACTAACACGCAAAGGGCTATTGAGTAACTACCTGTACCTGTAACGGCATTCACCCGGGGTGGGTTGAGCCGGCTCCAATATTAGAGTTTCATGAGAATTTGGAATTCACAAGCGGTCCCAACCCGCATGTATAGCACATGAGATTTGATTATAGTGGTGAAGGTTTCGTGCAGGACCATCCACACTTTTTGAAGGGCCGAATACAGAGACCTGGTGCACTACGTGCCACAAGTTCCCCAAACGACCCTGCGCAGGTTTTGAATTCAGAGTTGTCCCTCTCCTAGACCAGTTGCCATTCAAGACTATAGAACCCAGTCTGTCCTGCTATTTACCCATAGCTGGAGGGAGAAGAAGAGGATTCACACCTTTCCCAAGGGTATTAGCGCATAAGTGAATGTAAAGGGCTACTGAGCGTTAGAGAACAAGAGGAACAAACACTATTTAGGAGAGAGAACATTAAAAGAACAAGAATTAAGAAGACTGTAGATAACGATTGGCTTTGCATTTAAATTTTTTGAAGATCAATGTTGACTGGGAAGTCTCGAAGTCGAAAGACAGTTCCACAAGTGAGAAGTGTGATAGAATAAACTGTTAACATAGAACTTACTAATCTAGCCATTTCGACTGTAAAATGATTAGTAATTGCCGCCAATCTAGTACTGCGCTTAAATTCATAAAGCCCTAGAAGAAAGTTAATCAGAACAATTACCATGAAAGTATTTATAGAAAAGGCACGGGGAAGCTACATTACGGCAATGGGAAAGTGATTGAAGGCAATTTTATCAAGAATCTCTAAATAGCAGGACCATCAGACCAGATGTAGCAGAATTATTCAAATTGTTAGCACTATCGACTCTTTTATCCTTCCGATTGCGCAGTGAGTTCCATCTTCATCGACTGCAACTTTATTGCTGATTTAGTTAAACTTAGCGACTTGTATGGCACACTTACATAGTTTTATGCAATTTTTACTCTCATTATTCTTCAGCCGACATTTACTCACCAACGTACTCCTTTTTCTGTCTATTATTGTGCCCTCATTTACTCACCAGAGTACTCTTTTCTCTGTCTATCAGTGTGCCCTCAATTACTCACCAGAGTACTCTTTTCTCTGTCTATCAGTGTGCCCTCATTTACTCACCAGAGTAATCTTTTCTCTGTCTATCATTGTGCCCTCAATTACTCACCAGAGTACTCTTTTCTCTGTCTATCAGGGTGCCCTCATTTACTCACCAGAGTACTCTTTTCTCTGTCTATAATTGTGCCCTCATTTACTCACCAGAGTACTCTTTTCTCTGTCTATCATTGTGCCCTCAATTACTCACCAGAGTACTCTTTTCTCTGTCTATCAGTGTGCCCTCATTTACTCACCAGAGTACTCTTTTCTCTGTCTATCATTGTGCCCTCATTTACTCACCAGAGTAATCTTTTCTCTGTCTATCATTGTGCCCTCAATTACTCACCAGAGTACTCTTTTCTCTGTCTATCAGTGTGCCCTCAATTACTCACCAGAGTACTCTTTTCTCTGTCTATCATTGTGCCCTCATTTACTCACCAGAGTACTCTTTTCTCTGTCTATCATTGTGCCCTCAATTACTCACCAGGGTACTCTTTTCTCTGTCTATAATTGTGCCCTCATTTACTCACCAGAGTACTCTTTTCTCTGTCTATCATTGTGCCTCAATTACTCACCAGAGTACTCTTTACTCTGTCTATCAGTGTACCCTCATTTACTCAGAGTACTCTTTTTCTCTGTCTATCATTTGCCCTCATTTACTCACCCAGAAGTACTCTCTTTTCTCTGTCTATCATTGTGCCCTCAATTACTCACCAGAGTACTCTTTTCTCTGTCTATCATTGTGCCCTCAATTACTCACCAGAGTACTCTTTTCTCTGTCTATCAGTGTACCCCTCAATTTACTCACCAGGGTATTCTTTTCTCTGTCTATCATTGTTGCCCTCATTTACTCACCAGAGTAATCTTTTCTCTGTCTATCATTGTGCCCTCATTTACTCACCAGAGTACTCTTTTCTCTGTCTATCAGTGTGCCCTCAATTACTCACCAAGAGTACTCTTTTCTCTGTCTATCATTGTACCCTCATTTACTCACCAGGGTACTCTTTTCTCTGTCTATCATTGTGCCCTCAATTACTCACCCAGGGGTACTCTTTTCTCTGTCTATCATTGTGCCCCTCATTTACTCACCAGAGTACTCTTTTCTCTGTCTATCAGTGTGCCCTCAATTACTCACCAGAGTACTCTTTTCTCTGTCTATCATTGTGCCCTCAATTACTCACCAGGGTACTCTTTTCTCTGTCTATCATTGTGCCCTCATTTACTCACCAGAGTACTCTATTCTCTGTCTATCAGTGTGCCCTCAATTACTCACCAGAGTACTCTTTTCTCTGTCTATCAGTGTGCCTCAATTACTCACCAGAGTAATCTTACTCTGTCTATCTCTTTTCTCTTTTCTCTGTCATTGTGCCCTCAATTACTCACCAGAGTACTCTTTTCTCTGTCTATCAGTGTGCCCTCAATTACTCACCAGAGTAATCTTTTCTCTGTCTATCATTGTGCCCTCATTTACTCACCAGAGTACTCTTTTCTCTGTCTATCATTGTGCCCTCAATTACTCACCAGAGTAATATTTTCTGTCTATCATTGTGCGATCAATTCACTTTTCTTTTTGCCTGCTTTGCGTCATTAATCATTCACCAGCATACTCTGTTTCTTTTTCTCTGTCTATCATGCTTTTTCTGCCTTCGTTGCATTATCATTTACTCACCAGCATACACATTTCTCTGTCTGCTATTGAGTCATCAATTACTAATCAACTAATCATCTACTTTGTCTGCTACTGTGTCATTAATTACTCACTAACGTACTCTTGTCTCTAACTGCTTTGTGCCATCAATTACTCATCAGAATACTATTTTCTCTGTCTGCTATCATTGTGCCCATCAATTCTTCTCTGTCACCAATTTACTCTTTTCTCTGTCTATCAGTGTCTTTTCTCTACCTCAATTACTCACCAGCGTAATCTTTTTCTCTGTCTATCAGTGTGCCCTCAATTTCTCTGCCTGCTTTGAGTCATCAGTTAGTCTCTGTCTATCATTGTGCCATCATTTACTCACCTGCGTACTCTTCTTTCTTTGAGTCATCAGTTCTATCATTGTGCCCTCATTTACTCACCTATGAGTATCTCACCCTACATTCTCTGTCTGAGTCATCAGTTACTCATTCTCTGTCTGCTTGCCATCAGTTACTCACCAGAGTACTCTTTTCTGCCTGTCTATCAGTTGTCACCAGCCTCTTTTTACTCAGTCTTCAGACTCACCAGCGTTTTCTCTCTCTATCTTTGTGCCCTCATTTACTCACCAAGTACTCTTTCTCTGCCTCTTTGTCTATCACCAGCGTCTCTTTTCTCTGCCTGTTTGGTCATCAATTACTCACCAGCGTACTCTTTTCTCTGCCTCTTTGTCATCAGTTATCATTGTACTCTTTTCCCTATGAGTCAATCAGTTACTCACCAGCGTACTCTTTTTCTCTGTCTATCAGTTACTCACAAGTACTCTTTTTCTCTGCTCAAGTGAGTCATCACCACAAGCGTAATCTTTCTCTCTTTGAGTCATCTATCACCTGTGCCCTTTTCTTGCCTCAGTCAGATTTACTCTTTTCTCTGTCTATCATCAGTTACCTCAGTACTCTGCCCAGAGTAATCAGTTATTATTGCAAAGCATTGCCTGCTTTGAGTCTTCAATTACTCCCCAGCGTACTCTTTTCTCTGCCTGCTTTGTCATCAGTTACTCAAGCGTACTCTTTCACCTGCTTTGAGTCATCAGTTACTCACCAGCGTACTCTTTTTCTCTTCTTTAGTTCAGTTGTGGCGTACTCTTTCTCTGCTTGCTTTTTCATCAGTTACTCACCATGCTCTTTTTCTCTGCCTTCGTTGCATTATCAATTCTCTGCCTGCTTTGAGTCATCACTGCTACTTTGATACACATTTCTCTGTCTGCTATTGAGTCATCAGTTACTCACAAGCGTACTCTTTCTGCCTTTTAATCAATTGCTCAACGTAATCTTTTCTCTGCCTGCTTTGAGTCATTAGTTACTCACTAACATTTCTCTTCTCTCTTGTCTCTAACTGCGTACTTTTTTATGCCATCAATTCAGTTCATCAGAATACTATTTTTTCTCTGTCTGTTACTCTGGCATGCTCTTTTTCTCTGCCAGTCATCAGTTATTCACCTGCGTACTCTTCTTCTCTGTCTGCTAGTGTGTTATCAATTTGCTCACCAGCGTACTCTTTTCTCTGCCTGCTTTGAGTCATCAGTTACTCACCAGCGTACTCTTTTCTCTGCCTGCTTTGAGTCATCAGTTACTCACCAGCGTACTCTTTTCTCTGCCTGCTTTGAGTCATCAGTTACTCACAAGCGTACTCTTTTCTCTGCCTGTTTGAGTCATCAATTGCTCTTTTCTCTGCCTGCTTTGAGTCATCAGTTACTCACCAGCGTACTCTTTTCTCTGCCTACTTTGAGTCATCAGTTACTCACCAGCGTACTCTTTTTCTCTGCCTGCTTTGAGTCATCTGTTACTCTGCCTGCTTTGAGTCATCGTTACTCTTTTCTCTGCCTGCTTTGAGTCATCAGTTACTCTTTTCTCTGCCTGCTTTGAGTCATCAGTTACTCTATGCCTGCTATGAGTCATCAGTTACTCACCAGCGTACTCTTTTCTCTGCCTGCTTTGTGTCATCAGTTACTCACAAGCGTACTCTTTTCTCTGCCTGCTATGAGTCATCAGTTACTCACAAGCGTACTCTTTTCTCTGCCTGCTTTGAGTCATCAATTGCTCAACTGCGTACTCTTTTCTCTGCCTGCTTTGAGTCATCAGTTACTCACAAGCGTACTCTTTTCTCTGCCTGCTTTGAGTCATCAGTTACTCACCTGCGTACTCTTTTCTATGCCTGCTATGAGTCATCAGTTACTCACCAGCGTACTCTTTTCTATGCCTGCTATGAGTCATCAGTTACTCACCAGCGTACTCTTTTCTCTGCCTGCTTTGAGTCATCAGTTATTCACCTGCGTACTCTTTTCTCTGCCTGCTTTGAGTCTTCAGTTACTCCCCAGCGTACTCTTTTCTCTGCCTGCTTTGAGTCATCAGTTACTCACCAGCGTACTCTTTTCTCTGCCTGCTTTGAGTCATCAGTTACTCACAAAAGCGTACTCTTTTCTCTGCCTGCTTTGAGTCATCAATTGCTCAACTGCGTACTCTTTTCTCTGCCTGCTTTGGTCATCAATCAAGTTACTCTTTTTCTGCCTCTTTGAGTCATCAGTTACTCACTCTACTCTTTTTCTCTGCCTGCTTTGAGTCATCAGTTACTCACCTGCGTACTCTTTTCTCTGCCTGCTTTGAGTCATCAGTTACTCACCAGCGTACTCTTTTCTCTGCCTGCTTTGAGTCTTCAGTTACTCACCAGCGTACTCTTTTCTCTGCCTGCTTTGAGTCATCAGTTACTCACCAGCGTACTCTTTTCTCTGTCTGCTATGACTCATCAGTTACTCACCAGCGTACTCTTTTCTCTGCCTGCTTTGAGTCATCAGTTACTCACCAGCGTACTCTTTTCTCTGCCTGCTATGAGTCTTCAGTTACTCACTCTTTCTCTGCCTGCTTTGAGTCTTTTCTCTGCGTACTCTTTTCTCTGCCTGCTTTCAGTTCAGTTACTCAGCGTACTCTTTTCTATGCCTGCTTTGAGTCATCAGTTACTCACCAGCGTACTCTTTTCTGCCTGCTTTGAGTCTTCAGTTACTGTCATCACTGCCTACTTTGAGTCATCTCTCAACCAGCCTCTTTTCTCTGCCTGCTTTGTGTCATCAGTTACTCACCAGCGTACTCTTTCTCTGCCTGCTTTGTGTCATCAATTGCTCAACTGCGTACACTCTTCTCTGTCTGCTAATAGGTCATCAATTACTCATCATCGTACTCTTTTATGCATCAGCAATGCGTCATCAATTACTCACCGACGAACTCACCACTCGGTCTGCTATTGTGTCATCAATTACTTACTAATGTACTCTTTATCTTTTGCTATTATTATGCTATCACTTACTTACTTTTACTTCTGACTGATTTGCGTTATAAATTATTCGCCAACGTATTATTTTCTCTGTCTGTAATTATGTCATAAATTACTAATCAACCTATTCTCTTTTCTGTTTGCTATTTGTCATTAATTACTCACTAACGTACTCTTTTCTCTGCCTGTTTTGTGTCATCAATTGCTCATCAGAATTCTCTTTTCTCTGTCTACTTGGACTCAACAATTACTCACCGGCGTACACTTTTCTCCGTCTACTTGGACTCAACAGTTGCTCACTGGCGTAATCATTTCTCCGTGTACTTGACCTCATCTGTTACTCACCGGCGTACTCTTTTCTCTGTCTACTTGGACTCACCAATTATTCACTGGCGTAAGCTTGTCTCCGTCTACTTGAACTCTTTTGTTACTCACCGGCGTACTCTTTTCTCTGTCTACTTGGAATCACCAATTACTCACCGACGTACTCTTTTCTCCCTCTACTTGACCTCACCAATTACTCATCGGCGTACTCTACTGTTTATTCTACTCTACTGTCATTTATTACTAACCGGCGTAATGTTATGTCGACTTGCTTTGCGTCATTAATTTCTGACAAACGTATTCTTTTCACTGCCTATTATCCCTGTCATCAATTAATCATTATTTTACTTTTTATCCCCTACTGTTATTACGTCATCAATTGCGTACCCGCATCCTCTTATCTCTGCCTACCTTGCATCGTCAACCACTCGCCAGCTTAATCTTTTTCTAACAACTATAGTGTAATCAGTTAATCACCGACGTACTCTTTATCACTTACTGTTATTTTGTCATCAGTTACTCACCTGCATAACCTTTTTCTCTGTCCACTGTTGTGCCATCAGGAGCATTGACGTGATCTAATTATTTGAGAGGTAAGCTTGAGTGACCATTTCTATTGAGTAAGGTTTCGACCTTCACTGTTTTTCCCATGAACAAATCAACATCAAATAACCAACAAGGCTTGACCTGTAAAATCAACCAACCATTTCTGTCTTCATTTACTCGAGTGCCGGTAAATAAGGACACGGTTGGTTTGTTTTTACACACAATAGTAGACAGTGAAAATCAGTTACTTTCATAGTATGCAAGACCTCCACACATTCAAAAATATATTAGTACAGTGTAACCCGGATATAAGAGAGTTGTCGAGACCGGAGAAGAAGTCTCTTATGTCCGGGTTTCTCTTATATCCGGGTTTGGTCTATTTTGTTTAGGTGTTTGGGAACACTTTGGGACCAGATAAAATCTCTCTTATATCCGGGTTTCTCTTATATCTGGGTTTGGTCTATTGACACAGGATCTAATTTGGATACCAGAGAAAATAGATACATTAAGGATACATTAACACAGGATCTGATTTGGGACCAGAGAAAATCGCTCTTATATCCGGGTTTCTCTTATATCCGGGTCTCTTATATCCGGGTTACACTGTATAACACACACCTCTTCGCTAGATTTCTTTCATTTTTACTTGTGAATTCGTGCTTAGAAATTCTCAAGAAGACGTGAAATCCGAAATAAAAAAAAATCAATTTCCTTTATATAGAACTAGACTGATCGATGCAATTGATTCAGACCACGTGATGAAGAGAGAAAAAATACTTTTTTATTTATTCCTTCCGGGGGCAAACTTTTAACGCAAAAGAGAAACGCTGCAAATATATTCCCTTGTCAAATCCCGAGAACAAAACCCTCTCTCCTCCACTCCGACGACATCTGTTCGGAAAATAAAAAATAAAAAAATGAAAAAACTATAGAAAAAAAAAAAAAACATAATATATGGATTCACGAGAAAACAGGGTATAATTTACCGGAACTTGGCGAAATACAAGTTGCTGTTGTTGATAGAAGCCGAATGCTTTTCAAAAAGGTCTGTTTAATGAAGTTTGGAAACCGAATCTGCCACCCAACAAGCGAAAAATCCCCCAAAGGAACGAACAAGATAATTCTATTAGCGGAGATTTGCTCATGTCTTCATAATAAGACTTCTTTTTGTTTTTTTTCTTTTTTTTAATATATCATTGTGCGCACATATACACAAGCAGACACACATGGGAGACACACACACACACATATATATATATATATATATATATGTATATATATATATATATATATATATATATGCGTGTTTTGTGTGTGCTTGACTTCAAATATATATATATATATATATATATATATATATATATATAGAGAGAGAGAGAGAGAGAGAGAGAGAAAGAGAAATTGTATGATTTTGCTTCATATACATACACACACAATATGCTTTGTGAAAAAAGAAAATATACAACGTAATTCCTTACAGTTAATTTGTGTTTATTTCAATACACGCTGTCATTCTTTTTGCAAGTATATATATATATATATACATATCGATATATATATATATATATATATATATATATATATATATATATATATATATATATATATATATATTAGACAGTATAACTTCATTCAAACGTGTCCCATTGAATAATATAGACATATCTTGATGTTAGGATGAAATCCTAATGAATTTCCTCTTAACATCAAAAAAAACGGATTAGAGCTAGAAATGATTATTATAACAATAAATAGACATAATATGCCTATATTATTCAATTAAACGTATTTGATATATATATATATATATATATATATATATATATATATATATATATATATATATATATAATGCAACATACTCGTACAAAGTACAACGATAGTAACCTCATCCACATAAAAATGCTAAAAATAATGGAAGCATTAATAATAAAAGACAAAACGTCAACACACAATAACATCAACTATGAATATGGCCACAATATTCTGACCGTGCTCGGAAAATTAAAAAAAAATATTCTGACCGTGCATAAATATCAAAAGGAACATTCAGT